TATATATATATATATATATTGATAGCATTTATAGCTGTTTATAGCTGTATGGACATGTGAGAAGAATCTACATTTATTTTCGCTCAAGTACAAAGAAAGTTAAGTCACATATGACCTTATATAGAATAAGAATCTGAGCCCCAAGGGATCTACATGCAGGTTAGCTGGTATGGTCATAGATAATAGATAGGGAGAAAGGTTTTAAGAAATTTAATAGAGCATTCACTTTTTCCGAATCACTCCAATGGTAAACATTCACTGTTGAAAATTGTTAGTGTGTTTCCTATTGAAATGAGTTAGCGTTTATATTAGGAAATAATTTATTCCTATTAGAAGTTATGAAGATTAGATTTATTTCCTAATATAACTATATTTCTCTTCGTATTTTATGTTGTTTTTTCTCTAAATATTTAATATAAATTGATTAATTAGAGATATTGAGTGATGCATATATTCTTTTCTGTTATTTCTTTTTTATTGTATTTTTTATTCTAGGATTTATGTAAGGGTTATTTATACCCTTTTTCATGTCATAAAAAATCATTCCACTTTATTCGACATCATTTTGAATTTCAACATGATATTAGAGCCAAATTCACTACCCTAGCCACTGGTCCTCTTTCCAGAAGCCGTCAAACTCCTTTCTTGCCATCCTCTGTACTAGAAGGGAGGGAACTCGCCTTAATATTTGAAACAACTATTTTTTTTCTTCTCTTCTCCCAGCAACTCATATCGCTTAATCATGCCACTAACAAGCTCTCTAGACCTGCCCTGCTTTTGGGCGTCATCCACCTCTCTTTCCATCCTCAACTTGCCTGAAACTCTATAGTTGGCGGCGTCTCCACATGCATCTCATCTCTACGCACGTTAACCTTGCTGACCTTCCTTCCCATGGCATCGAGTTCAGCATTTCGCCGAGGCTAATCTTTTCGGACCAGTTTCTTGCTCTTGATCTGAGCTCCAATAGGCTTTCCAGCCCAGTACCTTGTGGAATCATTGAGCACTCGGACCGCTCGGCATTGCTGCTGCCCAATCTTTCCAACAACCAGCTTTCTGGTGAGATCCCGCTTGAGATAACGGAACTGAGAAGCCTTTAAGGCCGGAGCTTGACCCCCTAGACAATCTCAAAATACTTGATCTTGACGGCAACCGGATGACTGGCGAGATTCCGCTGCTGTTAGCGGGATGCAAGTCTTTGGAAGTCATCAACCTGAGTTCAAACAACTTGGCAGACAAGCTGAGCGGTGCCATCCGCTAGTGGCAAAACCTCCGTCTTCTCTCCCTGGACGTTTTGACTTCAATGGAGGTGGCCATGGATTTGAAGGGCAGCCGGCAGCTGGAGCTGCACTATGAGCTAACCTCTGCTGTGGGTATAGATTTGGCAGGCAATTCTCTTCGTGGAGAAATATCTCTGGGGCTGGTTGGCCTTAAAGGTTTGGAGTATTGGAACCACTCCTACAACCACCTGGTTGGCCGGATTCCAACCAGTCTAGATAGCATGGAGAGCCTGAGGAGAATGGATTTGCCACATAATTTGCTTGCTGGAGATCTGCCAATGGGCATCTCACAACTAATGGGGACTTGTGGTGCTGAGCCTCTCATATAACTGCCTAACATGCCAGTTTCCGGAGAGGGGAGAGGGAGAGCCTCTCATATAACTGCCTAACATGCCAGTTTCCAGAGAGGGGAGAGGGAAGAGGGCCTGTTGAGGTTACCTGGAGCATTTGCAGGGAACCCTGGGTTGTGTGTGGAGGACAGTGGGGGGAAAACCACATTGTTGCATGCCCTCGTAGGTACAGAGCTTCTTCCTCCGACGTTTTTTCTCTTCCTACAACAGACCCTTGTATGAAATTTTTCCTATAGCAGGTCCTCGACCAGAATTCGTCCTTCATCAGTGTTTCTTTTGAAATTTAGTTTGATTGAAATAAGCTCGTGTTTGAAATTGTTCGTGAAGTCACTGTTCGTGTTTGTTTCTTAACAAACGAGCCGAACACGAGTTGTTCGCGAACGACGAGCCAATTTGACATCTCTAATGTTAATATATATAAATAATATATTATATTAATTATTTAATTTATATTATATAAATATATAATATCTATATTAGTATATTACTAATGTAGTATATTAATATATTATTATTATTAATTTATTATATATTATACTTTATAAAAATTAACTTTTAAAAATATCATACCCTAATCAGGCCCTCCGAAACTTTTTCCCGCATCAGGCCTTTCAGAATCTTTCATGCAACAGACCATTTTTTGGAGCTTTTCCAGCAGTAGGCGTCCTCTGGAACATTTTCTGTAGCAGGCCTCCTCTGGAGCTTTTTCTGCAGCAGGTCCTCCACCGGAATTTTTTTTCTGCAGCAGGCCCTCCTCTGTGGCGTTTTGTTTTTTTTTTTGTAGGTCAGATCTTGCAGCTTTTTCTGGAGGTTGTTCTCTGCAAATCCTTTATAGCATTACCTGCAGGAGTCTTTCGTCTTTCTAGAGACATTGCAGAGACTGCAATCAAACATAACCCCAGTCTACTAGAAGTCAGTTTTTCCTGCAGTCAAGTTTCATAGCTAATGGGGACTTGAGGTGTTGAACCTCTCATATAACTGCCTAACATGCTTGGTTTCGAAGAGAGAAGAGGGAAGAGGGCCTATTGAGGTTACCTGGAGCATTTACAGGGAACCCTGGGTTGTGGGGGAAAAACTGCATTGTTGCATGCCCTCCTCGGTGCAGAGCCTCTTTCTTCTAAGATTTTTTTTCCTGCATCAGACCCTCCTTGGAACTTTTTTCTGTATCAGGCCATTGTCCTGAATTTTTCCTACATCAGATACTCGACCAGAATTCTTCTTGCATCAATCGAAACTTTTTCCTAAATATGCCCTCCTTCGAAACTTTTTCCTGCATCAGGTCCTCCTCCAAAATCTTTCATGCAATAGACCATTTCTAGAGCTTTTCTCACAGCAGGCATCCTCTAGAACATTTTCTGTAGCGGGCCTCGATCGGAATTCTTTTTCTGCAGAGCCCTCCGTGATTTTTTGGTTTTTCTTTTTTTCTGCAGTCAGACCTTGTAGCTTTTTCTGAAGGTTGATTCTCTACAAACTCTTCTATAACATTATCTGTATGAGTCTTCTGCCTTCCTATAGACACTGATGAGATTACAATCAAACATAATCTCAGTCTACTAGAAGTCAGTTTTTCATGCAGGTTGTCCATTTTTCTTCAAACTTCCTTGCAGCATTACCTGTAGGAGTCTTCTGCATACCTAAAGACACTGCAAGAACTGCAGTGACAGACAAATGCAGTTGTCTATTTCCCTGCAAACTCCCATACAACATTACCTGTAGGAGTCTTCCGTCTACCTACAGACACTGCAGGAACTGTAGTCAAAGACAACCGCAACTCTCTACTTCTCTGCAAACTCCTCTGTAGCATTATCTGTAGGAGCCTTCCGCCTACCTACAAATACCGTAGAAATTGCAGTTAAAGACAATCACAGTACAAAATAAAGATTTCAAGTTTTACCTTACAATTTATTTCTTGTCCATTTATTTGATGTTTTCAAAATCAAGTTAAACATAGTTTTCAAACATGTTTAAACTTAAGGCAGAGTGAGTGTTTATATTGGTAAATAATTTATTTCTATTAGAAGTTATGAGGATTAGATTTATTCCTAATATAACTATATTTCCTTTCCTATTTTACGATTTCCCATTTAATGTTGTTTCATTTATCTTCAAATATTTAATATAAATTGAGTAATTGGAGATATTAGATGATATATTTTTTTTTTCTGTTACTTTCTTTTTATTGTCTTTCCTATTCTAGAATTTACGTAAGGGTTATTTATCCCGTTTTAATATGAATAAAAAAAATTCCTCTTTATTGTGTATAATTCTGAATTTAAAAAAAAAAGGTAAACTATTGGAATTTGTAACCAGTACTTGTAATAGGTAGTTTGATTTGTTTGAGTTGTTAAAAAATGATGAAAAAGTCCAATGGAAATGTCTTAATTGGGTAAATGAATTTTACAAAAAAAACAACAATGGATGTTAGAAAGGAAATAGAGTTTAAGACAAAAGAAAATACAAAAAACGTACACAAGAAGAAACAATGACAGCTTGCTGATAATGAAGCAAACCAAAAGTAGTCTTATACTTAGAAGAACATGAACATCTATTGGTTTCTATAATCCTAGCATATTGCTTGTTTTGCCGTAGAACTCAGGTGTTTTTCATTCAGGGCAATGGCGGATATTGTGACTTGACGGCAAGAATTGTTATGGACTAACTAGTGGGAGATTTCATACTGGACTAGACCAATTCTAATCCATGGTTCTTACAAACCTTCAGATTTGTGTTGAACCAATATTGATTGGCTCTTAGCTTGGTGCATTAGTGGCTATTTGATCTTCTAAATGCTTGGGGAAGGTGCGGGCATCTTTAAGGAGCCTTTAATTGCAATCCCAAGCACTTCAGGTGAACATATTTAGTTGGGAAACTGTGTTGCATTCATTTGGGCTAATGAATTGGGTCGGTTCAGCCCTGAACCAGTTTCACCTGCAGTAGGCTTGCTAGAAACCTTAGGGGTCTTCTAACTAAGTTTAATTGTAATTGGTTGAATTTAGATGGGTTGAATTTATAATAACTCCAAATGGG